TATAAAAATAATTAGAAATATAGAAAAAAAATATTTTTAAAAAAAATTTAGGATAAACAAAACTTTCAACGAACGTTATAAATTGTATTAATTGATTAATTAATAATGATTTAACTTACTTAGACAAAATTTCGCCATTTTTTTAAATTTTTTATATTAATTTTCAATATTCATATACAATAATAATAAATTAAAAAATCAAAATATATTTTAATATATCACGTGTAACTATTAACTAAAAGATAGGTTAGGAAAGAATCAGGCTGGTAAACATAAGAGTATACAGTATGTATTAAATACTTGCATGCACTGCATGCAAACATTCATTTGTATTTGATTCGTTTTTTGAAAATTACAAATTTTTATGTTAATTTTAATTTATATGTATATAATTATTTTTTAATATTGCTAATTTATTAAGAACTCATAAATAAATTTATAAAATTCGTAAAATTTATATTTGATTTTAAGAAAAATAAATAAAAAAAATTCAAAAATTAGAATGACAATTGATAATAATTTGATCACATAAAATTCATAAAATTATGTGTCAAGTTATTTGTGCTGCGTCGTTGACAATAAAACGAGAAATTTAAGTAGTTATGTGAGAAACCGAAAATTGTTGAAAGACAGTGAAAGGTGTATTTGTATGCATATGAGAATTCTCACACTTTCATTCTGCTTCGCAAAAACTAGTTGTTCGGCATCATAGAGAAGAGATCGTGGCGGTAAAGTCGGAATGGAAATTCTCATAAATTATTTCGTGCAGTGAAATCGTTGTTTCATAGAATTTTCATTGAACAAGTGATACAATTTCTCTATTCTTATTTTCATGGTAATATCGTTCTCTCATAATAATAATATTATTCTTGTGTGAAATTAAATAAAATGTTATATTCACGCGATAAATAAGAAATGTTTCTAAGAATTCTTTTTTTAAAAGATAATAGAAAATACTTTTTTTTTCAAAGAACTTAAAATAAAGTTTTCCTATTGTTTGCTAAAGAATAGAAAGATTCGTGTCTTTGATTCTATACGATGAATCTTTTCTGCTTAATATTCATTCCACACCTTGCGTGTTTTGTTCGAATTTAAGTATAGAAGAGGAGAATAAAAAATTCCGCGTTTAGGATGCGCACATTCGAAAGACGCGTGCCGTCTTTACATTCGATTCATTAGTAGAAAGGTAGTGGGGGTAACGTCGGCTATCGCCGATAGACGGCGTGCGGCGGAGCAGTTCATTTCTGTAATGGCCGCCGTCTGGCGTTGTCGGTGAATCGGTCTCTTTCAGAATCTCGCGAAGAAAAATTTGCACAACATTATCGTTCACGAAAATCCAGTGTACAGCAATCCACGTAATAAGAGGTGTGGTGTTCGCT